TGAACATCATGAAATTGGTGATGGAGGAAGGGTGATGATAATGACGGCGACGAATCCCCCTCTCCAGAGCCCCAAACGGACTCCAGATCAGCCCTCTCGGGAGAGTTTAGGGCTTGGCGGCGGCTCCATATTGTAAAACGCGATGAATCTTTCTCTCTGGGTTTTTTCTCCCCGAACGTGAATATATGGAGTTGGAGTTGAGGTCGATGGAGGTCCAGTGGGCCCACGAGGCAGGGGCGCGCCCTAGGGGGGCGCTCCCCACCCTCATGGACAGGGTGTGGGCCCCTGACGTTGATTCTTTCGGCAATATTTTTTATTAATTCCAAAAAGTTGCTCCGTGGATTTTCAGGTCATTCCGAGAACTTTTATTTCTGCACAAAAATAACACCATGGCAGTTCAGCTGAAAACAGCGTTAGTCCGGGTTAGTTCCATTCAAATCATGCAAGTTAGAGTCCAAAACAAGGGCAAAAGTGTTTGGAAAAGTAGATACGACGGAGACGTATCACAGCCACCTATGTGCAAAGCACGTTGGTAGAACTAGTCTCGTGTAAGCGTACGCGTAATGTCGGTCTGAGCCGCTTCATTCAACAATACCGCCGAATCAAAGTATGACATGCTGGTAAGCAGTATGACTATTATCACCCACAATTCTTTGTGTTCTACTGGTGCATATAACATCTATGCATAGACCTGGCTCTAATACCACCGGTTGGGGAAGGCGGTAATTTCAAAAAAAACACTACGATCACGCAAGATCTATCTAGGTGATGCATAGCAACGAGAGGGGAGAGTGTGTCCACATACCCTCATAGGCCGAAAGCAGAAGCGTTATGACAACGCGGTTGATGTAGTCGTACGTCTTCACAATTCGACCGATCCTAGCACCGAAGGTACGGCACCTCCGCGATCTTCACACGTTCAGCTCGGTGACGTCCCATGAACTCCAGATCCAGCTGAGGTCGAGGGAGAGTTTCGTCAGCACGACAGCGTGGTGGCGGTGATGATGAAGTTATCGGCGCAGGGCTTCGCCTAAGCACTACGACGATATGACCGAGGTGGAAATCTGTGGAGGGGGGCACCGTACACGGCTAAACAATCAACTAGTGTGTTCTCGGGTGCCCCCTGCCCCCGTATATAAAGGAGCAAGGGGGAGGCCGGCCGGCCCCTGTAGGTGCGCCCCAAGAGGAGAGTCCTACTAGGACTACTAGTCCTGGTAGGATTCCACCAAGAGGGGAAGAGGGAGAAGGAAGGAGAGGGGGAGGGGGAAGGAAAGGGGGGCGCCGCCCCCCTCCTTGTCCTATTCAGACTCAAGGAGAGGGGGCGCGCAGCCTGCCCTGGCCACCCCCTCTCTCTCTCCACTAAGGCCCATCGAGGCCCATTAGTTCCCCCGGGGGTTTCCGGTAACCCTCCGGCACTCCGATTTTATGTGAAACTTCTCCGGAATACTTCTGGTGTCCGAATATAACCGTCCAATGTATCAATCTTTATGTCTCGACCATTTCGAGACTCCTCGTCATGTCTGTGATCATATCCGGGACTCCGAACAATCTTAGGTACATCATATCACATAAACTCATAATACCAATCGTCATCGAACATTAAGGTCATGTTCGGTAATACTCCGCTCTTGGCCAGGGAGCGGAGCGGGCGGAGCGCCCATTTGGTTGCTCGCCAAAATTACACTAGATGCTGCTCCACTCCCACAGCGGAGTTAGGAGCGGAGAGTTTCTGAACATCCCCTAAGCATGCGGACCCTACGGGTTCGAGAACTATGTAGATATGACTGAGACACGTCTCCGGTTAATAACCAATAGCGAAACCTGGATGCTCATATTGGTTCCTACATATTCTACGAAGATGTTTATCGGTCAAATCGCATAACAACATACATTGTTCCCTTTGTCATCGGTATGTTACTTGCCCGAGATTCGATCATCGGTATCATCATACCTAGCTCAATCTCGTTACCGGCAAGTCTCTTTACTCGTTCCATAATACTCATCCCGCAACTAACTCATTAGTCACAATGCCTGCAAGGCATATAGTGACGAGTATTACCGAGAAGGCCCAGAGATACCTGTCCGAAACACGGAGTGACAAATCCTAATCTCGATATATGCCAACCCAACAAACACCTTCGGAGACACTTGTAGAGCACCTTTATAATAACTCTTTTATGTTGTGACGTTTGGTAGCACACAAAGTGTTCCTCAGGTATTCGGGAGTTGCATAATCTCATAATCTGAGGAACTAGTATAGGTCATGAAGAAAGCAGTAGCAATGAAACTAACACGATCATAATGATAAGCTAACGGATGGGTCATGTCCATCGCATCATTCTCCCAATGATGTGATCCCGTTCATCAAATGACAACACATGTCTATGGTTAGGAAACATAACCTTCTTTGATTAATGAGCTAGTCAAGTAGAGGCATACTAGGGACTATATGTTTTGTCTATATATTCACACATGTACTAAGTTTCCGGTTAATAATATTCTAGCATGAATAAAGTTTATTCGATAAATAATAACTTTATTATTGCCTCTAGGGCATATTTTCTTCACTAGATGGCTTCTTATCTCTCTTTGATCTTCAATACAATGTTCTCCTCGATGTTCTTGGAGATCTATTCGATGTAATCTTCTTTTGTGACGCGTTTGTTGAGATCCGTTGAATTGTGGGTTTATGATCAAATTATCTATGAATATTATTTGAGTCTCCTCTAAACTCTTTTATGCATAATTAAGATAGCTTTGTATTTCTCTCTGATCTATTGATTTGGTTTGGCCAACTAGATTGATCTATCTTGCAATGGGAGAGGTGCTTTGTTTTGGGTTCAATCTTGCGGTGTCCTCACCCAGTGACAGTAGGGGTAGCGAGGCACGTATTTGTATTGTTGCCATTAAGGATAAAAAGATGGGGGTATTTATCATCTTGTTTGGATCTATCCCTCTACATCATGTCATCTTGCTTAAGGCGTTACTCCGTTCTTGTTAACTTAGTACACTAGATGCATGCTGGATAAAGGTCGATGTGTGGAGTAATAGTAGTAAATGCAGGCAGGAGTCGGTCTACTTGTCACGGATGTGATGCCTATATTCATGATTATTGCCTTAGATATCGTCATAACTATGCACTTCTCTATCAATTGCTCAACAGTAATTTGTTCACCCACCGTATGCTTTTTTCAAGAGAGAAGCCTCTAGTGAAACCTATGGCTCCCGGGGTCTATTTTTACCATATTACTTTCAGATCTATAAAACCAAAACCCAAAATACCTTGCTGTAATTTATTTACTTTTATTTACTTTTGCACTTTTACTTATCTTTTATACCTATCTCTATCAGATCTCACTCTTGCTAGTGGTCGTGAAGGGATTGACAACCCCTTTTTCGTGTTGTGTGCAAGTGTTTGTTAGTTTGTGCAGGTGCATCTATTGGGGACTTACTTGTGCATCCTACTAGATTGATACCTTGGTTCTTAACTAAGAAAAATACTTATCTCTACTTTGCTGCATCACCCTTTCCTCTACAAGGGAAAAATCAACGCAAGCTCAAGAAGTAACAGCCTACTGCATCCTAACATGATGGTTCTTTGCTCCGGCACACAGGTGACAACATGGTCTTGTGCTGCTAGATGATTGCCGCGAAGAGGCATGAGATCTTGGATCTTCAGATGTGATGCCAACGATGAGTATGTGTTGCTGCTCGATCTTGGATCTTGGATCTTCAAATCTTCAGATCTAGAACGACGGAGCATGAGGATGGCGAGGGATCGCCGGAGTGTCTCGAGTTGGGATTGGTGTCGGTGACCTTCCTCCCTCAACTTCCGTTACAATGTGTGTCGATGACCTTCGTTGTTCATAGCTTTTGGTGGCGACGGACTCTTGTCGCGACTGGACTGAGTGCTTGTGCGAGCATGATTTTTTGAGTGACATCTCACATCAAGACCGTGCTAGGCATGCAGCTGGTGGGATCACCGAAAGTGGTGGTGACAACATATGATGACTTTGATTTGATGGTGCTTCTCAAGTACCGGTCTAGAGCTTCGGGGTGAAAACTGAGGGTCTGACTTTCAGTGGTTGGATCTTGCAACGGTGCCGCTTGTGCGTCTTTTTTTCGCGTAGGCGTTGACGTTGGGGATCTTTTTGTTATACTTGTGAGGTCAAGAGATGGTTCGTGCGGATATGATCATCTTTGTAGCTCGTTGATCAATGTTTTGATCGCTTCAGTATTTCCTTTTCTTTTCTTGTTACTCCATCTTCGATCTTGCATGGCTTTGCTAGTTGCCCATGTGATTTTTGTATGTGCGTTGATGTTGAGGATGCGTATTTTAATTATGCAAAGACTATATGTGCTCATTGTGTATTCTTTTTTTTTTTGCGGAGGGTGTTTTATTGCTTTGATACTTCATTTCAAATTAATATAGAATCAAGCCTTTGTAAAAAATAAATCTACTCCCTTAGCATAACCAAAAAGAATAAGCATGTGATGTCCCTTCTTCTCCCCACTCTTTGCATGATCCTTCTTCCTTCCCTCTCCCGTGAGGATGGCAACTTTATGTTTGGATGACAAATTTTAGTTTCTTTGGATTTCTTTTTTTTTTCAGATGCAATTTTAGTTGTAAAAATGCTAGGGCTGTGTTACTTCTTGCCACACGTATGAGACTTGTCATTCGGGTTCTTTTTTACTTTCCTATTACTTCTGCCGTATATAGAATTTTGAAGTGCAAGAGAAAAGCTGTCATGCTAATGTAGTTGCGCATACCAGTTGTCCGCTTTCTAGTTCTCTCGGCGTAAACAAGGTCCTAATCTGAAATGCTGTTGTGAGTTGACCGAGATGTCCAGGCACACTCCAAGGCCCCGAAGCCAAACCGGAAGGGCAAAGCAGTAAATTGATCAGGTACCGAGGGTTTCGGCCTCCCGTGCTCTTTATCTACCATCTACCAAGCTCCGGGCGGCGACCATCACCAACCAGGTGCTCGAGGAGGTCGATCGATGGCGTCGGAGAAAGACGCGGCGCTCGCCGCCGTGCCCAACGACAACCCCACCATGTGAGACCCTAGCCTGTACCCCTCTCTCCTCCTCTCGCAAGGCCCGCACCAATCCGTCGCTATCTTAATTGTTCCGACGCTGACTGCTCGATCTGTCGGATTGCGCTTCGCTGGCAAAAGCCGTGACATTACAGATTTTGGTGGTTTCACATGTTGTGATTTGTCACTACTGTCTCGAGTAATTGTGCGGGGACTGATGAATTAGTAGTATTTGAAATGGGTAGTGAAGCATCAGTGAACTAGTCTTGTCCCCAAGTTTCCCCAATGATTGTATGCTGCTGGACTGCTGGGAGATCATCAGTGATGCTGTTATGACTCATAGTTGCCGTAGTCCGTTACCAACTTGAATATTTGTAACTTGCAGAACCGAGTGCAAATCGCAGCCTGGCAAATAATGAAATAGAACTATATGGGACATTAGTGCAAGCCATTTGTTAACGAAATGGTTCACCGTGTTGGCTACTGATTTGCAGCAGTGGTCTACTTTTGGCTTCATCAGTTGAACTATACCGCTGCTGGTATTGTGCTTTTATGTTCATAGTAATTATCTTTGTAACTAATATGAAATATTTGCTAAAACTTCAAAATTGACAACAGTAGCTTCATGTTTAGCTACTAATTTGTTAATGAAGGAGTAAGGAACATGCCCTGGGTTAATGGGAGAATCGTACTGTTATCGACACTTAGTGCTAGTTATTTCTCAGTTACAGAATTGGCTTGCTGAATAGATCAACTATGCCTAAAAGGATGTGAAGAGTCAGTATTTAAATTATGTATAGCAAAGCCTTTGAGCAGGTGCATCAATTTCTGACATATATTGCATGTGCAGATTTGACAAGATCATCAAAAAGGAGATACCTTCTACAGTGGTGTATGAGGATGAGAAGGTATTGTGTAGTACTATTTGCCTTTTTCCATAGTCAGTTAGGACGGACAATATTTTAGTGATGATGACTCAGCAGGTTGGACTATCAGTATTAATGAAATATCCTGCATTGAAACTAGAGTGGATGTACATACATTGAGTTCACTAGAGAAGAATGGGTTTTGTTAGAATATTGCAGAGATGCAATCATGCCATATAACCCCTTGAATAACTTGGGTTGTGTTGTATTAAGAGTTATGTTATAAAGGATTACATACAGTTGCTTTAGGAACTAGGACGGTTTCATCTAGTTAATGAACTAGAGGGCTTGGCAACATAGCAGTTGCTATAATCATGGTTAGAAAATTGGTAGGCGTAAATTCCTAGTTTTGCGTATACCCGGCGCCTATCTTTCCCAAGCGCACACATATACATGCTCATTATAAGTGCACGCCTAGCAGCACCTAAGCTAGGTGTTCTGTTGCAATGCTAGAGCCTAAGAATGCTTAAGCGCACACATATTAGTACTTTTTTTAATCATTGGATATGACGATGTTACTACTTACTACTGTTGTTCAAGTCATTCTTGGACTGCACGAACCAATGGTTGGAATTCACAATATAGTTAAGCCTCAGTGGTTACCTGACATTCTGAATCTTCCCTTTGCGTGGAGTTGTTGAGTTTTATTAATTTCAGATAAAAGTATGGAGTAACTGCTATAAATGGACCCATGATTTACACTGAGACCATGCATTATGCTACTCATAGATGCCCAGACCCCATGTAGACACACAGCATATACACAGAGTTTTATGATAAGTGCATGCCAAAAAATTAGTTGCCCCCCTCCATGTTCACTCACTTGCAGATTGGTATGGACCAATGGAAAATAGCGTAAATTTCTAGTTCTGCCAGTCGATCCACGCATCCATGCCCTGCTATGAATTTGACATTAACATTCTTTGGAGGGCCTTACGCTATATACTTAAAAATACTTACATCTTTGAAGTCCAGTCTTCTGTTCTTATGTTTTTGGCTGAACACTTGAGTTTTGTTATTTCTTCTCTATATTGCATCTGCTACTGTACCATATACTTGAAAATAAATTTGATCTGTGGGTTCATTTTCCAGGTCCTCGCTTTCAGAGACATAAATCCTCAAGCTCCGACCCACATTGTAATCATTCCCAAAGTCAAGGATGGATTAACCGGCCTTTCAAAGGTAATGTTGAACTGTTCATCCATGATTGCAGTTTAAATTTTCCAATTTAATCCAACCGCTCATCATATAGTAGATCTATTAAAGTTTCCTGGAATTTAATGTGCTTGAGAGAAAATGGTTTTCATTTGTAATAATCTCTCCAGGCAGAAGAGAGGCATGTAGAGATACTTGGCTGTCTCCTCTACGCTGCAAAAGTTATCGCAAAGCAGGAAGGACTTGAAGATGGCTACCGTATTGTCATCAATGATGGCCCTAGTGGATGTATGCCCCCAGTTCAATGTGCTATTGGTTTTTAACACCTTTTCTTTTTTGCGGGGGTAACACCTATTCTTGTGCCGACTTGTCCATCAGTGACCTGATATCTATGTTTGCAGGTCAATCTGTTTACCACATCCATGTCCATCTCCTTGGAGGGAGGCAGATGAACTGGCCCCCAGGCTAAAGAAGCTCTTGGTTGTCGGTCAATCTTCATGGCAGCTATGTCCTTTGCATCCCAATCGAATAATTCCTGTAATTGACATAACAGTTTGTGCGAGGAACATTTGCTCTATCTATGGAATTGGCAAAACCATCCTGCTGTGAATGTATGGACAAGAAACTTGAAGCTGAATCGTCTCATTGATGCGTGTTGTGTTCTTTCTATTCAGTCTGCTATTTTACTGGTTTAGTACTCCCTTTTGGACACTATACTCTTATATTATACTGGAAGGAGTAGTTCTGGTTACCGGTGTTACCTATATTTCTGTGATGCATCACGATCTTCACGTCTGCATGCTTGATCCTTGTTCGTGTCCATAGTACCTTAGTGATCTAAACGCTTTTATATTTCTTTACTGAGGGAGTACATCACTAGCCGAATGAACCTGCTGGTGTGTGCCCTCCCATATCATGATGGTCTGCCTATGGTGTGAACATTTGACAGGGCTTTTTGGGCAGACGTCTCTTCAGATCTTTCAGTCTTAGCTAACCCCCCGGATTACAATATCTGATGATTAGACCCTGGGTCTCCGGGATCTAGATATGTGATGCTGTGCAGACCCTTATCTGACAGGTTCAGTGTAGAGTGCAAGGCAATGCATCTACTTTGATTACCCTCCTTAATCGATATAAAGGTACCCAAGGAAAAACATGCCCCTCTGTTACTACTGTGTACTGAAACAGGAAACCGCGTTGCTCGCTCTCACACACAATATATGCTGCTCCAAGATGCTTCTCTTGACACTTGAAGAGAACAACAACTCGATAAGCACAATGCCAAGCCTCGTCGCCACTCTCCTGCACCTCTTTTCCCTCTTGGTCGTCGCCGCCGCAGAGGCCATCCGCTGCCTCGTCGGGTGGGCACGTCCGGCGTTGTCCCGCCTGTCCGTGCAGGAATGCCCGGAGGCGGCGGCGTGCTCGACGGAGCTGCCCGTGGCGCGGTGCGGTGAGCAGCGTGGAGCGGGGCGCGAACGCTGCGTGATCTGCCTGGGCGGCATGGAGGAGGGCGACGAGGTGAGGGTGCTCAGGTGCCACCATCTGTTCCACCGCTGCTGCCTCGACCGGTGGCTGGCTGCGTGGGCGGGGGCGACGTGCCCGCTCTGCCGCGGCAAGCTCCTCACGGGCACAGCTGCTAAGCGCGCCGGGGAAGAGGAGGTGGAGGAGAGGAGCATCGAGGGGATGTGCATGGTCATGCTCATGGCCTACGTGCATAGCCGTACTTCGGTTCCGGCGGTTTAACACGCATCTGTCACGGTGGATGGCGACGGGTCCAACGGCCTCAACGATGTGGACGCCACTCGTCCTACCCGTCCCGTGGGATTGATTGTTGTAATGCTACTTCTATATTGTAGTGCCTTGGATGGATTTTTAGAACAAGAGAAGCAAGCCTGCGACACTACCACAATGAAATTAACCACAATGGGCCAGTTTGGAGTGGATAGGTTGACGGTCGTCCAACCAACCCTATACACCAAATGTCCGTTCCGGGTCTATTTACCTTCATTGGACATGCATATGTAGTTTTAATAACAAACAAATATAAATCCCAGCCAAAAAACGTCCAATCCCAAAAGCTGCAAGTCCGACTTTCCATGCAAAAAACCTCATTTTATGTCTGTCCATGCCAAGTTCTTCACCGTACGGTTGGCTCCTCCAAATCAGTTGCCAAGCACTTTAACATCCTAGCACGGTAGGATCTTTCGTGTCTGTTGATTGTTCAACATTTGGGTGTGCATTTGTTGCGTGTCTGTCACCTCCGGCTTGGATTCGTCCACTCGGATCATGTTCATCCGTGCCTCCTCCTTATCGGCGCCCGGTTGAGACATTTCGACGGATAGAGACCGGGCACCGACTGGCATGGAAGCTGATATCCGTGGACGGACAAGCGGGGGCGATTGCGACTCTGTAAAGAGGTTCTCCGCATTGTTGAGGTCGACGATGCATGACACGTGATGGCTGGCGACGACGGTGGATGCAGACTACTACTGCGGACCGAGCTGCCGGGCGGCGTAGTAGTATGACGGATGCAATCCTGCCGGCCAGGGTGATGGTGATTGCACGCCCTGCACCCCCTGAATCACATGCTTAACCAGAGGAGGTACCGGGTGATTGACCACCGCGAAAGTCTCCTCCCTCCTTCTCTATCTGCAGCGGCGGGCGGTGCATGTCGCTGTGTTACCTTGCGGGGCGACTACTACTGAGGGATCCTCTGCCTTCGAAAACATCTCCGTCAGCACCTCCCTTGGCTCCATCGTGACGGTGGACAACGAAATGAGCGAGAACTACGGTGGGTGGAGACGGCGAACGAAGCGGCGACATCGGCGGCGGCGGTGGGCGACTACTCCTACATAGAATGAAATGCAAATGAGTGGTTGTCCACCTAGAGTGAGCCCCACAGTGGAGATATTTCTCCCATTTTCTGAGAGCGTTGTTGCATCCAAACATTAGGATTGTCACGAAACAAGATGAGAGACAACGTCGGAGAAAGGCTTGACCGCCCGATCGTGCCCTTGGACGCTCCAGATCGCGCCTTCATCCTACTCTTATCCACCTGAAGCCCACTCCTCCATGGCTTCTCTTCTCCGAGCACCGCCCTCCCTCCCTCTGTCCGTCCCGACCGCTGCCTCCATCGAGGAGGTAGGAGTCTAGGAGATCAGCGAGCTGGTTGGCCAACAGCTCTTGCGGCGGGCCATCACAGAAGCTACGCCGTACCCGGCGGCCGCTATCCCCAGTTTAATAGATTAGTTCTGCCATGGCGAGGCTTCCCGGTCTGCGTTGCTGCGACCTTGCCGCGAGCGGCTCCCTCCCTCCTCTCGGCCTTGCCTGCCGCCCTCGCAGGTCGCCCCGCGCCTCGGCTCTACGCTACTCGTCTCTCCAAGGTACACCGCGTAGTTTCACCAATACTCAGAATTGCACGGCGCAGAAATTGGCTACCTCGAAAGTCGAATTAGAATTAAGGCCTCCTTTGGTTCATAGGGTAGGAAAATCATAGGGACATGAAAGTCATAGAAAATGAGATGACATGTGTCTTAAATCATATGAATAGGAAAGTAGGCGCCCTTTGATCACATCATAAGATTTTTTCCATTGAGTCTAGTCTAATGTTTATTTTCCTATGAAATGTGGGGGATATGATTCTATTCCTACAAACCAAAGGGCTCTAAAGGAATTTTTCCTATACAAATCCTATCCTATGAGATTCCTACAAAATTTCTACAAACCAAAGGAGGCCTAATCTTCTTGCATTTGATCAGGGTTACTTCTTGCGATTCTAAAAATGGGTCTGGATTACTTCGCCACAGCATTCTGATTTTGAACACATTTTTCTCCATGCGTTGGTGTATTTAAATCCATGCTATAAAGAGAAGAATTATTCAAGGCTTCAAGCCATACAACCAAGATGGTCCCGCATTTGTTCTTTCGTACTAATCCCGTGACCTCATTGTTGGAATTGATAGCTGGTGACAGCCTCGGGGAGGATGTCTTGCGCATGTTCCTTGAGGATAGGCAGACGAATGGGGACTTCGTCTCCAAAGTCACTGACATGGTTTTGAGGAGAAATGACACAGGTCTTGATGTGTTAGAGGCTACCACAGATCAAGGAAATGCTGCAGATGTTGGGCAACCTGACGATGTAAGCTGTGCAAATCATGTCGTCTAGTTATCTACTGTTGCAAGGCATAACTGACTGAACAATGGCATACAGTTCAGGGATGATGTTATGAGTGAGGGAGTCGTGGGATTTGAGGCAACTGGAGATTTTGTGTCCGCTGAGGGCAGCCTTACTGTGAGAAGGAGGCTTTCTGCTCTGGTATGTCATGGCCGTGTTTCGGGATTATTATGTTCGTTATCTTCACTTTTAACCATGTTTTTGTAGAGGTAATTGATAGATTGGCATGTTCTTGCAAATGATGACAGGCTGGGCTGAAGGAGAGTGATAAAAGGAAGGAATTCAACCTTCTGAGATATGAAGCAGTAATTTTCACTACCAGTGTTTCTTCTGATGCATTTAGTAGGAAAAAAAAATCATATCCAGCTGCTCATGTTAGTCGTTTCCCGCAGATTAAGGACGAACTGTTGCTCTTGACCGTAGGAATTGGAGCCGCTTGCACTATATATTGTGTCCTAGTCTTCTCTCTCGAGGTATTTTCAACCTGAACTTTATATCAATCCAGACATGCATTTTTGCACTAACCATGAATGATTGGATAGTTTCGTGTGACCATGTGTCACAATGAAGTGATGTCCTGTTTTACTGGAATTTTACAAAATCAACCATTTGAAATTGGATCTCCAGTCTACCAGTTTTTTTTGGAGAGAGAGAATCTCTAATCTGAAGGGGAGCCTTGGCGCAGTGGTAAAGCTGCTGCCTTGTGACCATGAGGTCACGGGTTCAAGTCCTGGAAACAGCCTTGCAGAAATGTAAGGAAAGGCTGCGTACAATAAACCCAAAGTGGTCAGACCCTGCGCAAGCGGGAGCTACATGCACCGGGCTGCCCTTTAGAGAATCTCCAATCTACCAGTAGATAACTATGTTGTTTTAGGTCAAATTTGTGCGCTTTGTGAGCATCACACTGTTCATGGCTCATATAATCTTGGAATCATTGCCTTGAGAGCATCTCTGACTGGACCCCCCCCCCCTATATGTCCGGGCGGACAGCCCGGACAAAAAACGGGTCCGCCCGGACAAAAAACGGGCACCCAACCGGACTCCCCCTACCTAGCCCAAATGTCCGGGCTGTCTGGCATCTCTCAAACCCAGCCCATATGTGGGGTGGATTTCGGGCTGCCCGGACGCATCCACCACATTGGACTGGCCCATCCCTACCCCACAAAATCCCGTCCCTCTCGTCACCCGGACCAAACCCTAGCCATTTACACTGCCCACTCCACTTTCAGTCCGCTTCGCTCCGCCTCACCCTCCTCTTCGGTCATCTCCGGCATGGCTAGGAACGGATCTGAATC